TCGTACGCTAATTTTTACTGTGGATGTGGTGAGTGAGAGATGATACGTGTGCCTTTCCCAGGAAACTTATTTTATTGATTAACACAATTAAGTACACGCATAACTTTGAGCCAACACCTGAATACCTCCAGCAGGTACTGGAGTTTCTTGCGCTCGCGCACGCACACACACACACACACACACACACACACACACACACACACATACACACACACACATGTGAACGACATGACGGAAGGGTTAGACTCAGAAGTGTCCCTGTTTGCAGATGTGAAGTTAATGAGGAGAATTAAATCTGATGAGGACCAGGCAGGACTTCAAAGAGACCTGGACAGACTGGACACCTGGTCCAGCAAATGGCTTCTCGAATTTAATCCTGCCAAATGCAAAGTCATGAAGATAGGGGAAGGGCACAGAAGACCACAGACAGAGTATAGGCTAGGTGGCCAAAGACTGCAAACCTCACTCAAGGAGAAAGATCTTGGGGTGAGTATAACACCGATCATGTCTCCGGAAGCACACATCAATCAGATAACTGCTGCAGCATATGGGCGCCTGGCAAACCTGAGAACAGCATTCCGATACCTTAGTAAGGAATCATTCAAGACACTGTACACCGTGTATGTCAGGCCCATACTGGAGTATGCAGCACCTGTTTGGAACCCGCACTTGATAAAGCACGTCAAGAAACTAGAGAAAGTACAAAGGTTTGCGACAAGGTTAGTTCCAGAGCTAAGGGGAATGTCCTATGAAGAAAGATTAAGGGAAATCGGCCTGACGACACTGGAGGACAGGAGGGTCAGGGGAGACATGATAACGACATAATAAAATACTGCGTGGAATAGACAAGGTGGACAAAGACAGGATGTTCCAGGGAGGGGACACAGAAACAAGAGGCCACAATTGGAAGTTGAAGACACAAATGAGTCAGAGAGATAGTAGGAAGTATTTCTTCAGTCATAGAGTTGTAAGGCAGTGGAATAGCCTAGAAAATGACGTAGTGGAGGCAGGAACCATGCACAGTTTTAAGACGAGGTTTGATAAAGCTCATGGAGCGGGGAGAGAGAGGGCCTAGTAGCAACCGGTGAAGAGGCGGGGCCAGGAGCTAGGACTCGACCCCTGCAACCACAAATAGGTGAGTACAAATAGGTGAGTACACACACACACACACAGGGAGGCAACAACGAGTCGTGGTATGTGACGAGGTGTCGGAGTGGGCGCCGGTGATGAGCGGGGTTCCACAGGGGTCAGTCCCAGGACCGGTGCTGTTTTTGGTATATGTGAATGACATGACGGAAGGGATAGACTCAGACGTGTGTCTGTTTGTAGATGATGTGAACTTAATGAGGAGAATTAAATCGGATGAGGATCAGGCAGGACTACAAAGAGACCTGGACAGGCTGCAAGCCTGGTCCAGCAACTGGCTCCTCGAATTTAACCTCGCCAAATGCAAGGTCATGAAGATCGGGGAAGGGCAAAGAAGGCCGCAGACAGAGTATAGGCTAGGTGGCCAAAGACTGCAAACCTCACTCAAGGAAATGGATCTTGGGGTGAGTATAATACCGAGCATATCTCCTGAGGTGCACATCAACTAGATAACCGCTGCAGCATACGGACGCCTGGCAAACCTAAGAATAGTGTTCCGATATCTAGTAAGTTTTATTCATGTATACACAAATACAGTTACATAGATTATCATACATGGTATAGGTAGGAAGCTATATCTTGCAATTTTCCGGCACCATCGTACCAGCCAGAGGCGTAGTACGACAGCTCCGGTTGGGTCATGAGGCCGCGGCTTCAGTCGTCGCGGTCAGAAAGGAATCATTCAAAACTCTGTACACCGTGTACGTCAGGCCCATACTGGAGTATGCAGCACCAGTTTGGAACCCATACCTGGTCAAGCACGTCAAGAAATTAGAGAAAGTGCAAAGGTTTGCAGAAAGACTAGTTCCAGAGCTAAGGGGAATGTCCTACGAAGAAAGGTTAAGGTAAATCGGCCTAACGACACTGTAGGACAAGAGGGCTAGGGGAGACATAACGACATATAAAATACTGCGAGGAATAGATAAGGTGGACAAAGATAGGATGTTCCAAGGATGAGACACGGAAACGAGGGGTCACAGTTGGAAGCTGAAGACTCAAATGAGTCAGAGATTTTAGGAAGTATTTATTTAGTCATAGAGCTGTCAGGAAGTGGAATAGTCTGGCAAGGGATGTAGTGGAGGCAGGAACCATACGTAGTTTTAAGACGAGGTATGATAAAGTTCATGGAGCAGGAAAAGAGAGGACCTAGTAGCAATCAGTAAAGAGGCGGGGCCAGGAGCTGAGTCTCGACCCCTGCAACCACAAATAGATGAGTACAAATAGGTGAGTACACACACACTCAAACTACCATTGTTTTTTTACTCAGAATAAAAACTCTGCTGAAGGACTGGTTTACTGCCCACATTTTTCCCCTGGATGCGACCCACAATAATCGACTAACACACGGATATTTTTATTTTCATTGCCAGGTCAGCAGGGGTATATGGGAACTCATCCATGTGTTTTCACTTGAGAACGACAGCCAAAGACCTTACAATCAACTTCATAAGCTCTCTATTTGGAAATTAACAAATTAAAGCATTTTAATATATTTTATAATTTTATAATGTTTGTATAACCCGTAGGAGTTGTACAACGTTCGCGGAATGTTAGGTAAACAGTAGTACACTATCCTATTACGAACACAGATGGCACTTCCTGGCCTGTTGCACCTGGCCTTAATCCAAGTTATCAGCACTGCGAGCACTCGGGGCAAGACAAGGTCAAAGCAAACACAGTAGTAGTTTTTTAACCTTTGTATTCATTTACCAGTATGTACAATATTTATATAGTGGCCTTTAAGGGTTTAGCTCTTAATTATTATAATAAGATATTAGTATGATAAGACAGAGCAGAGCCGTACAACAGGAGTGGATTTGACCAGAGTAAGAGCGTGTCTGCCATCCATGTGTGGCACCACCTGGGCTGGAGGAAGCTGGTTCTCACTTGATTGGTAGGTTGAACTGGACATTTAATAAAACAGTGGGGACCCAGATCTATTATACTCTGAAATGCCAGTTTGCCGGTGGAAAAGCCATGCCACTGGCTGTGTGATAAACGTCGAATCAAGTGTAACATAGCACACGCCACACCTTCCAACACGCCTTTTGCACTCCACGACCGTGATTAATTTATTAAAAACAACTAAATCCGTTCGAGACCACTGATCTTAAATCTATTTCTGGTCGAGTTACAGCTGGGCATATTCAATCATTAACAAAAAATACTTTTTTTCTTTACATGATCGTTATCAGTTTTCAGGATTTTCCACTCGACAGATAAAATTTAAAATTACTTTGGTGAGAATTCAACATGTTTGTTTGAGTCAGAGAGATGATAACACCTGTCAGAATATCAGACTTTGGAATACAAAAATCCGTGAGAATACATAAGCATACTTGGAGTATATCTGCAGAGGGTTTAGGGGGTCAACGCCCCCGCGGCCAGGTCTGAGACCAGGCTGTGAATATTAAAATGAAAGTACGGGAAATACACGGGGTTGAGAGTACATTGGTATACATGAGATTATTGTATTTAGAGGGAAGTGATAAACCCTGGAAGAATGTAAGGTAATCAGGTTCGATCCTAGGAAGGGGAGCAAAAGGCCCACTCTTGGATCAAGAGCCCCTCGCCAACATGAAGGAGCTTCCCTTGCCCGAAATGCTCTGCATAACAAGGGGCTTTCTATATAGTAGTATGTCATTGATGTCAGCTATGGTCTGTATACATATAATATATTTATTTCTACGAGTATATGTGTTTAAGAACGCACAAGCACGTGATCATATGCGAGTACATGGGAATGGTAGATAACAATAATTTACTGTCTGTACCAAGGTTATTTCCTAAGAAACGGCTACTGTCTAGGTGCGCACGTCTCTTCAGAGTTCTGTCTCGTGTTCTTTCTGTCACAGCAACTTGGGCACTTTATACCCTCTATGCCTCTTTCTCCTGATGTTCCTCATTCATCCTCTATGGAAGAGGTGTTACAAATCTTTATCATCTCTGTTCACTCTTCAGACACATTTTCAGTTTCTTGGACCTAATGTAAAACATCAAATTTATGCAAGAAAGTTTATTTTGGTACTGGTACACAAGTACAGGAGGGCCTCGCATATACAGCAGGTTAGGCTACCGCTGTAAAACGAAACATAGCTTTTTTGTCACTTTCAAATGCAAATAAAATCCTGACAGCATGTTTACACAATCATATATTAAGTGAGCAATTTAGCTAGGCCCAAAAAGCATATACAGTGCACACATTATTAACTTTAAAATATTTTCGTACTTAGCTTATAATTAGTGGTGAATATATTTATTGTAGGAAGTCTGAATGAAGAATAGATATAATTGAAAACCGCTGCATTAGCAAAACGCTGTAAAGTGAAGCAGTGTCAAGCAAGTCCCATCTATACAATTATCATACATAACGTAAATTACCTAAGACTTGTGTCCATCAGGGTCTACCAGTTGTGCTTACTCTGTGCTAGAAACAATTGGTATGGGGCCAATACATCTACAACAAAACTATGAGCTGGTTCAGAGCTTTCCAACAAGGAAGAATACATGTATGTCATGTTATACGGAGAGCAAAATTAACTTGGAAGACTTACGTGTCCACTGTAACTACCACTATATCCACAGTCGGGTAAAAAATCGAAAATTGGTTGCAAAGCACTATCCTGAGTCTGCTCTTCTAAACAGTTGCTGGCAAACGTACAGGAGACCCCTGATAAAGTTGTCACTCTTCTTCTCCCTTCAAATGGTGGCCAATGGCCTGATGGCAAAATTTCTCGCTTCAAAGGCTAAGGCCCGGGTTCGATTATCGGCAAGGGTAGAAACATTGGGCATGTTTCCTTATACCGGTTGTCTATGTTCACCCATCAGTAAAAATAGGTACCTGGGTGTTAGTCAATTGGTGTGGGTCGCATCCTGGGACAAAACTAACCTAATTTGCGGGGAATGCTCTGCATAACAAGCTTTCTATATAGTAGTACGTCATATTATTATTATAATCAAGGGGGAAGCGCTAAACCCGGAGGATTATACAGCACCTGGGGGGAGGATGTGGAAGGCATTCAGGCTTAATTCGGGGAACTGGAGCACAGATCCAATTCCCTAAATCAAGAGCCCCTCACCAACATCAAGGAACCTTCCCTGAGGGGTAGTACGTCATAGACGTCAGTTAGGCCTGTATTCCTTGTGCATGTATTTGTTGAAATAAAGGTATTAAATATTCGGTTTTTCCTATACGTTGATGATTTCGCTGTTGCTTGTGCAGGTGCTGACTCTTCAGTGTTGCTGATCGTGCTTCCTGCTGTGACCACCTCAGATAGGGTAAGTTTTCTATTTCTAAATCATTATTATTATAATCAAAAAGAAGCGCTAAGCCACAAGGGCTATACAGCATATTTCTAAATCAAACATAATTTTAGCAAGACCCCCTGTTAAATTAGTCCTGGAAGCCTTGCATAACTTCCCTGAGCTGCCTCTCATAGTCCCCTGAACTTACCTAAGCTTTCAAAGCGCTAATTTGTTTTCTTCAAAGGATTGTTATAATCAAAAATAGGTGTTGGACCCACTAAGGTCGTACAACACTTCAAGGGAAGCTCCTTTATTCTGACTTCTGTTTAGGGACCTAGCAAAAACTTATTTCTTTGTGCTTATTGAAATGTAACATAACCAAACTTGTCCAGTATACAAAATTATTATTATTATAATCAAAAAGAAGCGCTAAGCCACAAGGACTATACAGCCCAGTATACAAAAGACGAGGGGAACAGGTCAAATTTTTGGATAGCTTGTAGCACACCTTAGTGGATTTAGCGCTAAGCTAATTATCATTTTGGTAATAATAATAACCGAGAGTTGGAAATTGCCACAAATGGTGAGGTAGACATAGACGCAAAGGAGACAGTGATGAGAATTGATTACACATGGAACTACTGATCGACCCCAGTAAATGTCCTCGGATCAATCTTTCTGGAAAAAAAAAAAAAGCTTCATTCCAGACACCATCGAGGGGTTTAGGATCATCATTTAACATATAGCATGAGAATGAGACAAAGTTTTCCAGAGTAAGGTTAAGGTTGCAGTAAGAAAGTGAGCATTTTGGCATAGGAGCAAACTTGAATTGTTGAGACTTTCCCAAGGATGAACACAAAAGCAAGATATACAGTGGTTGTAAAGGTAGGTAAATTGTGACATCAGTGTGAATACGAAGAGTTATCGATAAGGGCGTAATAAATAGGGTCGATCAGTTAACCTACTAATATCGGTAATCCTTCTATACACGGAAGGATCATGAAGGTTGTGAAAGTGGACAAAATAGTGGAGACAGAGTATCGTGTCAGTGTTGCAAAGACTGAGTATTTGACTCTGTATACAGGCTCTTGGGTAGGGAAGATCAAAGCCATGAGACAAATGTAACCCTTGACCATGAATGGGATAAAGTTTTGAAAGAGTAGCAGGAGAGTCTGAGAATACTGTACAGTTGGTCACCCTAGTCGAATTCAGATAACTTTCAGCTTTCTGTTTTATCTTATACTTCATCAAAAATTTACAAATTATATTTGTGGGGAAAGCACTAAACCTTTTACAACCCATACAACAATTGGAGAAAGCCAGTCATATTTGATTCAAGTAAGGGAAGGGGCTGCTTATTCCTTCAAATAATAATAATATTAATAATAGGCATGTGTTACATAGGAGTTAGTAGAGGCATGGTTAACATTTATGAAATTCAGGATAACTGGTTAGCCATACTCGAGTCCTGGTAGTAGTGCCTACACTCTGAAAGAGGGGTGGGAATTGCAGTTTGTAGGGCATCTGGGCTGTAGTGTCAGCACACCTCTGGTAAAACTGAGCAAGTAATGGTGAAAGGTTTGTTTTTTTTCGGGTCACCGTGCCTTGGTGGGAGACGGCCAGTATTGATAAATTAAGACACGTGCATCTCTTGGGTATCTTTATTGAGGAAACGTTTCGCCACACAGTGGCTTCATCAGTCCATACGTAGGAGAAACTTGAAGAACAGGAGGAGAATGAGGTAATCAGTCCCTCAAGGTTGAGTCGATGTGTTCAGTCCATCATGTCGGTTCTCTGAACCATTCATCTACAAACCTGTCAGACACTGCAACTTCTTGGGATCTTAATACTTAGGAATTCTTCGCTTGCCTAATTCTTGGGCACGACCTACTTCCACATTGAACAAATGTGACACCACCTATGACTATTGCACCTCTCCTGCCATACGGTTTATAAGCTGCTTCTCCGCTCATATGCCGTATTCTATTCAAGATTGATGAACACATCGACTCAAGGTTGAGGGACCGATTACCTCATTCTCCTCCTGTTCTTCAAGTTTCTCCTACGTATGGACTGATGAAGCCACTGTGTGGCAAAACGTTTCCTCAATAAATATACCCAAGAGTTACACATGCCTAATTTATCAACAAGTCAGTTCTCTGAACCATTCATCTACAAACAGCCAGTATTATACAAAAATAATACTATAATCAGACTGGATGTAATGCTTAAAAAAATTATTTCTCCTTCAATATACTACTAGGTGAACACGCTGTATAGCCCTTGTGGGTTAGCGCTTCTTTTTTTATTATAATAATACTAGGTGAACAGGAAAACTACAAAGAGTTGATGCAACTACTTTATTGCTATACATTATTAGCTTTGGGAATCTCACCTTTAATGCAGATTCTCTGCATTCCTTAAATATTACAAGACATGGAATGGATTAGGCTGATACCTTGTTGGTGAATACACCTTAATATGTCTAGGCTTTGAAATGAGCCAAGATTAGATAACTTAAAAAAAATTACATGTTGGAAATATGGCCCACAAGTTGCAAATTGCATGTCTTACTGACCCTATCTCACAAGTAATGCAGTTAGGCTAACAATAATCACTTTAAAAAGAATAAAATATACTCATATGCTATTGTGAAATTCAACAGGCTAGAACAATTAGATTGTTTTATGCACACATTATTTTACATACAAAAACTGATACAAAATACTGTATTTAAAATCGAAATAAAAATTGCACATGATAGCATCATAATGGGTTTTGTCTACAAAGTATGATTAGCTTCAAAATAAAATAAACAAGCTCTCTGACCCCAGAATTGCTATTTAACACACCTTTAACACTGCCCATGTTTATCAACTCTGCCTGGATGCTGCAAAAAGCTCACATCTCAAGGATCAGGATGGCAGAGAATTAAGACATGAACTATGGCACCAAGTAGACATCCATATACACCATTAAAATTAAATATGTAAAATTAATGCCGAGAAATAACATAGCCTTTCTTTTGATAAGCAAACCAAAACATTAATTGTACTTTGTGTAATACTTTGGGCTTCCCATATTCTGGTGCCATTTCTTGGGACAATTTAAGCTTAAGTGTATCCAAATCATATTACATTAATGGCAAAAAAAAAATAGATGAGAATACACACAGCTTCAGTCTAGTGAACGTAAAAGGAAAACTTTGTCACGTTTCATTTTTGTGAAATTTATTATAAAAATACCCCTTATTTTATGACTTATTATACCATCAATATTAGACATTTGAAAAATTACACACATGACAAACATAATAAATGCTTTTACTACTAAACTACAAAAACAAGACCAAAAAGATTTCAATTATTTCAACTGTTCCTCTACCAAGTAGTTGCCAGTTTTGGGAGTTTGCAAACATTTTAGAAACCTAATAATTGTATGATGAATGCCAGCACAACACTGCACAATTTTACCAGCATTATTTTACTTAGCAGATCATTGTGTATCATATAATATTACATGTAAAAATATACTGTACAAATATATCGAGATTTAAAAACATTTATTTATTTTACTTATGTTACCTGTCAAGGCACAAGACACTTAACTGGGTAGAGAGAAACAAAAACAAAGATACGAAAGAAATTTGCCTACAACTTTCACATGGGTTGACAAGCCATGTTACTTGTGATATGCAAAGTAACACATATTCCAGTCATTACAAACTGAAATGTGACATGACGACTGTAACTATTATAAGGGAGGGATTGTACGGGCCTAGAATTGCACACACCATAGGCATGGATGAGGGAAAATGTCTTAGGGATCCTAGGAGAGCCCATTGAGAGATCACAGAAGTACTTGGCTTTCCATAAAATATCACAAAAGTACTTGGAATTCCATAAGAGATCACAGACGCTCTTGGGCTTTAAAATTTCTTTCTATTAAGGTCCTTTTGCACATATAGTGTAATATGAGCTACTTATCTACGTATATGTGCTTGTGCGAAGATTCATGGCAGTTCCTGCAGAAATATCAACAAATGGCCTAGTGTATTCATGAGCATAAACCCATAGGATCATACAGCACCTGGAAGAGGAGGCAGAGTTGGTCCAAGGAAAGGGAGGGCAGTCCCAATTGCCTGGTTCAAAAGTCCTTTACCAGCATCAAGTGCCTCTTTCAAAGAAAAGACCTACAGGCAGGCCTCGCTCTAGAGCACTTTGCTTTACAGCATTTTGCTAATGCAGCGGTTTTCGGTTATACCTATTCTTCATTTATTCAGACTTCCTACAATACATATATTCACCACTCGCTATCAGTTAAGGACAAAAACATTTTAAGGTAAGTAATGTGTGTACTGTATATGCATTTTTTATGCCTCTATTGCTCACTTAATATATATAATAGTGTAAACGTGTTATCAGGCTTTTATATGTATTTGAAAGTGAAAAAAAAGACTATGTTTCACTTTACAGCAGTAGCCTGGACCCTAACCTGCTGTATAAGCGAGGCCATCCTGTATATCTTTTAAGACTTTTTAGGTACGTACTTCAGCACTGCTTGACTCCTTTAGCCTTCTGATGCTTATTATTTATTCTCATGTCAATCTTCCTTGGGCATGAACTACTACAGTGTACAATTATTATTATAATCAAAAAGAAGTGCTAAGCCACAAGGGCTCCTACAGTGTACAAGACAAGGCCTATAGTTAAGTTTTAAAACTATTAAAGTTATGGTACTGATCTGTAGGAAATTTATTTATTCACAGACTTTACAGAAAAAAAAGAAACTGTTCATTGACGCTATGGCCCATCATGAGAAACTGACTGTCAACATGTAAGAGTCATTTTAAGCTGATATTGCATATTACACTTTGAAATTTTCAGCAGCCCCTGTCATGGAAGATGTAAATTACCTATCACATAAATGAGCAGCATAGCAGAATATCAATAAAACATAGCAATAGCACGAACACAAATGCCCAAGTTCTTTGAATAAATTCTGAACATAGTGCGTAAATTTTACTGTATATTTCCAAATTCTAACGTTTGGACTGCCAGATTACCCATATCCTGCTGTAAAACTAAATAAGGCCTAATATAAAACTAGGGTTTTTAGCAATCAAAATTAAATGTGGGCTTGCACACAGTCTGAAGCCCATTTATCTTTTATGCTTATTGGAATGCTTTTGGTGCATGCGGAGAGACAAAAACTACACGTATCTAAGAACGCTAAGCATAACTAAATGAACTATAGATGAGAAATGACGTAGTAGCGAGAGAGAGAGAGAGAGAGAGAACACAAAAGAATGGCAGGAAACATGCTAGAAACATGGGAACTGGATGGGTCAGTTGTGCTAAAACAGTCATTTGTGTAGAAAAGACTAAATTCAAAATTTTTTACTGGATTTGAAGCCACACATTTCCTCAGTCTTAAGCACTGTGATTTCACTGCTAGTTACTATTTGTTAAGCTTTTCATTATCTTTTAACGTTTGGTCCCAAATTCAACAAAAGATGGTACATATCAAGATGCCCCATTTAGTTGATGTATACCTCAACATACTAACAAAAAAAAATTCCTGTGCATAGGTACATTTGGTTACATACAATATTACATTCATGGATGGTGCACTAAACCTGTAGAGGTCATACAGCACCTAGGAAATTGGAGGCAATCAGATTCAATACAAGAAGGTTAGTTCCATTTCCTTGGACCAAGTGCCATTCACTGACATCGAGACACCTCCTTTGAAGGGTTAATTATGTAGTCATACTAAATGGGTATATTTGGCTGTGTCTAGTCATGTTATATAGGAACATCCTGCATGTCAAGCAACAATGTTACATATCTACATTACTTTGTACATGAGCATTAATAATTTTTTAAATTGCATCTCACTGACTAAATTATGAAAAACATACTTTTCATTCTTATAAAGGTAAAATATGTAATATCTAGTGTTTGAATAACTTGTGATACTCGAGTTCTTTTTACAGTTGGAAATATCAGTCAAAAATTCTAATATTTTGCTTAAATGTACAAAAAAAGTTTCACCAAATTAAAATTTTACATCATAAAATTTAAATGCTGATATTTGTACATTGATGATATTTGGGTTTCCTTCATAATTTGGAACACTAATGTTTTTAGCAGTTACACATTTGTAATTTTTTCAGCAAATGTACAGTAAGCAATTTTACTGGTGGTTTTCAATAACATAACTAATTAACATTGATAATGTATGAACAAATGCTTCTGAAATCACTGGATTTCAAAGAATGATTAGTGAACAGAAAATATTGATTACTAAACCTGAGTAATGAAATTTGTAAAGCTTAATCATTATCCGTTAGGCTAAACCCACAAGGGTTATACAGCACCGTAAGCCTAACAAAATTAAGAAAAATTTCCTAAAACAAAATTAGTGTTTCATGCCTCCCATCCCCCCCCCCACCCATCAAAAAAAAATATTCACTAGACAGGTCAGTATCACGAATAGGAAATTCATTTGTACAAACCCTGTTTATAATAGAGGCAAGCCTCATCAACATTCTTGGTTGGTTTTAAAAGCAAAACAAAAAGCCAGTTTTAAAATGGGTAACTAAGAGGGGTCATTGTGCTGTACCATGAAATAAAATTATTCTCATTGCCAGGTAAAAGAATATTTACCCCCCAACCCCCAAAAATGTTATGTTAAATGTTCCTTACATAAAAATGATTATAATACTGCACATTCAATAATCACCATATATCGGTCAGAATGATGCAAGTTAAAGCTACTTGGGTAATTTTTTTTATTTGGAGAAGAGCAATCTCTAATATTTTTCGCATACTCTACAGAGGTATAGGGTAATACAATCTCAAATTCCGAGGCAAGTAATAATGATGTTACTCAAATTAAGACTTGCCTGTATAAAAGTCCATGGTAGTAATGTAAGTGGATACAGTATTCTCATTCAGTATGATTTCAATCTCACTGTTGTCAGATATTACAGATTTTACTCAATTTATAAAGACATTTAGCATGTATTTCATTCATGTCAAACATGTATCTATCTCAAATAACTGCTATAATAAAATATTTAAGAAATGCTACTTTTCTGCCATTTACTAAAAGTTAATGTCTTGAATCATATTCAGTCTTCAGTAACAAATAACTCTGCCACTCATCTTTCACCTAGTGTTTTATGTTGTTCAAATTAAAAAGCATAACTAATATTCAGTTATTGCACAACTCTTACTTGTGTTTCATAGTCTCTCTCCAGAGAAATTATGCTAAAATCTATATACATAATTAAAACAGTGTCATGTTCAGAAAATATAAAAAAACTGAAATTCTTAATATACACATTGTTGAAAAAAAACATTTACTATACAAACAATAAAACTGCTAAAGAACTCAATCTGTATGGCGATAAAACTGAGAATCTTTTTTTTTTTTTTTTAAAGTAAAGGAATACCAGTATCACAATAAAATGGGACTAAATCTATTAAAAAGTGTACAGGATGACAGGTAATCAAAATGTTTTAAATATCAGTATTCTAACCCACATAGTTTTACAAACACACTACAAATATGAAACAATATTTCACAAGGGTCTTGGCAAAAAAAGTCAAGACAGACGGAATATAAAAATACAAACAAGAAGGTAATTTACAGTAAAATACTATTTTTGAATAATACAAAACAAATGCATTATCTCTGGATATTGTGCCATCACACTCACAAATGGACATAATTCAGCAACTGGCTAATCATCTCTTAACTACACAGCTCGGAAAAATAAACGTGAACAAATTTACATGAAAAGTGTGATACCCACTAGGGTATCGATGCATGTAAGGCCTCTCGTGTTAGCCTGGTGAAGGCTACCTGCACCAGTACTAGTGCTCTGCTCGCCACTCTGGAGTTTCTATTAACTCGCGTGCACTTATATCCTCTCCTAGTATTGGACCTGTAAACAAAAGATTAGCAATGTGGATAAATTCTGAAGAAAAAAAAAATAGATTCACCCACAAGGAATTCTCATGGTGGTAAATAATGCATAATTAATATGTTTACATTTGTGGAAAATTTTTACATGATCTCAAAATGAGGACTCCCTTGTTTGAACTAAAGAGTAAAGATGTACTGTATGTACATCTGTATTCCTACAAGATGAACATGTTGGGTATTTCTACAAGTTGGTGACTGATAAAGAATAAATGAAAGTTGTGTAGTAACAATACAGTATGCATTCACTAAGGAACTTGTATGACACCAGCTGACAACTCAACATATTCTAGAAACCCCCACATTTTGCTAGGTATGGCTAAGTGGCACTTAATTAGCAGTCTAATAAAACAAGGAAGTTGTATGAGCAAGGCTTCTACCATCTACTGCTGTTACATCATCAATAGCAGTACTATTGTGAGAGGCAGCATGCTAATCCCTTAGATTCTAACTTTTACTTTAGTTCAGCATAGGTATATAGCAAACTGTTTGCTTTCTTCTGTTAAACACTTCATTGATAGCCTTTCATGAATAGATGAAACAAAATTTATAGAAAATTCTGATAAGCATTAAAGAGTGATCTCTCAATAGTGTGATCTCTTAACAGTGCTGGGAGATCTCCCCATCTCCTGGACACAACCTCAATCAATTTTATATAGTATTAAAAAATAAATTAGGTAATTACTTTTAAAATGTACTTTTTCTTTAACACACTGGCCATCTCCCGCCAAGGCAGGGTGACCCCGAAAGAGAAACACTTTCGTCATCATTCACACTAACGCTGTCTTGCCAGAGGTGTGCAGATATGACAGTTTCAATGTCCCTTCTAACAGTAAATATCCCAAACCCCTTCTTTAGAGTGCAGGCACACTACATTTTTGGTGTAGATTTAGCAAGTTCCCATTTCTTCAGTGCAATTCAGTACGAATATATGGCTTTTATTTTTAGAATGTAAACAAATACAGTGGACCCCCGCATAGCGAACGCCTTGCATAGCGAACATTCCGCATAGCGAACGCTTTGATCGCTAAAATTTTGCCCCGCATAGTAGACAAAAACCCGCTCAGCGAACTTCGTCCGAGACGCGTCCAATGTGCGGCCTCAGCCAGCCTCACATGTGCCGCCTGTCCCATTGTTTACCAGCTAGCCTCCGCGGTAACATTCAAGCATACACTCGGAATATTTCGTATTATTACAGTGTTTTCGGTTCTGTTTGTTGAAAATAAGTGACCATGGGCCCCAAGAAAGCTTCTAGTGCCAACCCTGTGGTAAAAAGGGTGAGAATTAGTATGGAAATTAAGAAAGATTTTGAAGGGTTTGGGGCTAACCCTGAGAAGCCTATGCCAGTTGTGGAATCCATTGTGCCTACTTCAAAAATTAAGGAAATGTGTGCACAGTGGGTTGAACTGCAAACCTTTATGGATGAAAATCACCCTGACACAGCTGTTGCAAGGCGTGCTGGTGACTATTTCAATGACAATGTTATGGCCCATTTTAGACAAATCGTAAAGGAACGGGAGGTACAGAGCTCTATGGACAGAAAGAAGTCCAGTGACTCTGAAGCTGGTCCTAGTGGCATTAAAAGAAGAAGGGAAGTAACCCCGGAAAAGGACTTGCCTCCTCAAGTGTTAATGGAAGGGGATTCCCCTTCTAAACACTAACACTCTCTCTCCCCTCCTCCCATCCCATCAATCATCACCAGATCTTCAATAAAAGTAAGTGTCATGTAATTGTGCATGCCTTTTTCAGTTTGTGTGTACTAAAATTAACATTTTTTTGTGGTAAAAAATTTTTTTTTTCATACTTTTGGGTGTCTTGCACGGATTAATTTTATTTCCATTATTTCTTATGGGGAAAATTAATTCGCATAGCGAACATTTCGCATAACGACCAGCCCTCTTGCACGGATTAAGTTCGCTATGCGGGGGTCCACTGTATGTTGTCTGTCAGCTGATGAGCTTCCCATTATGCAAATATTGAGTAAGACCATGTTAATCCTCACCATATTTCAAATACTTTTAGTAAAGACTAATTGAATGTAGAATATAGAGGCAAGTGGCTTTTGGAACTGCCCTCCCCTTCTTTGAACTGAAAGTGAATGCCTCCCATTCCTCCAGGTGCTCATGACCACTACTAGTTTAGCACTTCCTAGGAATGTAATAATTATATCTCTCTAGCTGTACTTCTAACAAGTAACTAAAACCAACTATTCTACTGCCCTGGGAAATGCAACAAGTAAACTTACGAAGACTAAGGTTATCGAATCTTGTGAGAATATCTTCAAGGTCATCCACATTACTTTCAGCAAACTTATGACCTCGATAGCCTCCTTTGTTCTTGATAAAATGAAGCAGTTTTCCCCAGTGTCTGCAATGAGAGTAACATACATGAGCAAGAAACACACAGCATTCTATTATATTTTATTCAAGAGGGTCAGTTTGTGTCACTGACCTACACGTTTTACACCACAGCCTCTCCTCACTTAGTGATGTACTCTTTTACCGACGACTCGGACTCCAACAAGCACTCTGACCAGTATGCACACCTAAATAATGTATAGGAGAGCTGATTTCTTCTATTCTGTTTATTACAATATAGAGTATACTACTGTATAAACAATTAAAAATACACTAAAAAATTTATAAATGGTGCAAAGGTGACATTAAAACAATATCAAAGAAGGCTGGAACAAACCCATTCCCATTACAGTATGCTCCTTGATTAGCAACGAATTCGTTTACCAAAATGGTCTTAGGAACAGAACTCTGTCATTAAGCGAGGAGAGGCTGTATTACGTTAGGCTAGGTTTTTTCGGGATTTGACAAGCTCTTCGGGGTATGAGCAAAGTATGGGAGGGCCCCTAACCCACATAAAACACTTTCTTTTCAGTGTTCCACATTTCCGTTGGTTTGAAGCCATTGATCATTATGTTCCACCCGCTGGCAATAGTCACTGGTGGGTGGAACAACAGCTCAATTGAAAGTCAATGAACATGTGGGAACATTGAAAATAGGTACTGTATATGTGGGGCCCTCCTGTATTCATTTTAGAATAATTTTTTTTTTTTTTTAACAAGCTGGCCATCTCCCACCGAGGCAGGGTGACCCAAAAAGAAAGAAAATCCCCAAAAAGAAAATACTTTCATCATTCAACACTTTCACCTCACTCATACATAATCACTCTTTTTGCAGAGGTGCTCATAATACAAGAGTTTACAAGCATATACGTATAAAGATACACAACATATCCCTCCAAATTGCCAATATCCCAAACCCCTCCTTTAAAGTGCAGGCATTGTACTTCCCATTTCCAGGACTCAAGTCTGGCTATATGAAAATAACCGGTTTCCCTGAATCCCTTCACTAAATATTACCCTTCTCACACTCCAACAGCTCGTCAGGTCCCAAACACCACTCATCTCCATTCACTCCTATCTAACACGTTCACGCACGCTTGCTGGAAGTCGAAGTCCAAGCCCTTCACCCACAAAACCTCCTTTATCCCTCCCTCCAACCTTTTCGAGGACGACCCCTACCCCGCCTTCCTTCCCCTACAGATTTATACGCTCTTCATGTCATTCAACTTTGATCCACTCTCTTTAACCCTTTGACTGTTTTCGACATATAAATACATCTTACGAGCCAATGTTTGTGACGTATATACTCAATAATTCTAGCAGCTTCAAATCAAGCAGGAGAAAGCTGGTAGTCCCACATGTGAGAGAATGGGTCTGTGTGGTCAGTGTGCACCACATAAAAAAAATCCTGCAGCACACATTGCGTAATGAGAAAAGAAAAAAGATCGTTTTTTTGGAATAAAACGCCGACTTTGAGGTGTATTTTCGTATAGTATTTATCGTTGTATTTGCGTTTTCATCGTCTTAGGTGATAAAATGGAAAACATATTACAGAAATAGAGATGATTTTCATTACTTTGACGATGAAAACGACCTTGAAACTGAGCTCAAAGTAGCGGAAATTTTTTATTTTTACCAATGTTCAGGAGTAAATAAATCACACCACACGTCCAATACACGTCAACTGGGGAGTCTAATATTCTTTCACTAGTGCACTGATATTATTTATACCATTTTTACAATAATGCAGTAGTCTGCATAACAGTAAATTTTGTATTTTTTTGTATGAATAAAAAATCAAAATAGAAAGCAATAATAATATAAGAGGAGCCTAGAGATGTGACTAATGAACAGAGCATATGTTATTTTAGTGCCACGAATGTCTACCTTGTTTATTCTGGACCCTATTTTGAAATTGGCATCTTTTTTAGTTTGCGTGAAATTGGCCAAATTGCCAATTTCTGACCACCATATTGGGTAGTCCAAATTATTAAATGGGAGGTTTCTTGTACTCAGCTGATAGATAAAATGGAGTTCTAAAGAAATAGCTATGAGTTTGCTCAACTGGAACAATGGAATTGGCTGAAAATAGGGCTCAAAGTCGGCGAAATCGCCGATACGCATATGTCGCCGAGACCGCTAACTTCACGGGAGCATAATGAGTTTTCGACCAAATTTCGAACTTTTGGTGTCATTACCATCGGGAAAAGATTCTCTATCATTTCATAAGAAAAAATCATTTTTTTTTTTTTTTTCAAAAATTGAGCGACATAGAATGAGTTTCAGAGAGGGGCCTGAAACAGGCAAAGGGTTAAATGACCAAACCACCTCAACAACCCCTCTTCGGCCCTCTGACTAATACTTATATTAACTCCACACCTTCTCCTAATTTTAACACTACGAATTTTCTGCATAATATTTACACCATACATTGTCCTTAGACAGGACATCTCCACTGCCTCTAACCGTCTCCTCACGGCAGCATTTACAACCCAAGCTTCACACCCATACAAGAGTGATGGTACCACTATACTTTCATACATTCCCTTCTTTGCCTCAATAATGTTTTTTGTCTCCACACATACCTCAATGCACCACTCATCTTTTTTCCTTCATCAATTCTATAGTAAACCTTATCCTTCGTAAATCCATCCGCTGACACGTCAACTCCCAAATATCCGAAAACATTCACTTCTTCCATACTACTACTCTCCAATTTGATATCCAATTTTTCTTTATCTAAATCATTTGATACCCTCATCACCTTACTCTTTTCTATGTTCACTTTCAACTTTCTACCTTTACACACACTCCCAAACTCGTCCACTAACCTCTGCAATATATCTTTTAGAATCTCCCATAGGCAAAGTATCATCAGCAAAAAGTAACTGTCAATTCCCATTTTGTATTTGATTCCCCATAATTTAATCACACCCCTCTCCCGAACACCCTTGCCTTTACTTCTTTTACAACCCCATCTATAAATATATTAAACAACCATGGTGACATTACACATCCCTGCCTAAGACCTACTTTTACAGGGAAGTAGTCTTCCTACCTTCTACACACCCTAACCTGAGCCTCACTATCCTCATAAAAACTCTTTACAGCATTTAGTAACTTACTACCTATTCCATACACTTGCAACATCTGCCACATTGCTCCCCTATCCACTATCATATGCCTTTTCTAAATCCATAAATGCAATGAAAACCTCTCTACCTTTATCTAAATACTGGTCATATATATGCTTCAATGTAAACACTTATTTACACATCCCCTACCCACTCGAAAACCTCCTTGCTCATCAGCAATCCAACATTCTTTCTTACCTCTTAATTCATTCAATAATAACCCTACTGCACACTTTTCCTGATATACTCAGTAAACTAATTCCTCTATAATTTTTACAATCTCTTTTGTCCACCTTCTCTTTATATAAAGGAACTATACATGCTCTCTGCCAATCTCTAGGTACCTTCTCCTCTTTCATACATTTATTAAGCAAAAATACCAACCACTAACACTATATCCCCCCCTGCTTTTAACATTTCTGTCATGATCCTGTCATTTCCAGCTGTTTTACCCCCTTTCATTCTATGTAATGCCTCACGCACCTCCCCCACACTCACATCCTGCTCTTCTTCACTCCTAAAAGATGGTATACCTCCCTGGCCAATGCATGAAATTACCACCTCCCTGTCTTCGTCGATATTTAAAAGTTCCTCAAAATATTCCCGCCATCTACCCAATACTTCCATCTCCCCACCTACTGTTTTTAACTGACAAATTCATTCATTCCCTAGGCTTTCTTAACTTGTTTAACTCGCTCCAAATTTTTTTCTTATTTCCATCAAAATTACCTGACAGTGCCTCTCCCACTGTATCATCCGCTCTCCTTTTTCACTCTCTCACCACTCTCTTCACCTTTCTTTACTCTCCATATACTCTACTCTTCTTATAACACTTATGCTTTGTAAAAACCTCTCATAAGCTACCTTTTTCTCTTATCACACCCTTTACTTCATCGTTCCACCAATCACTCCTCTTTCCTCCTGCACCCACCCTCCTATAACCACAAAAAATTGTGCCCCACATTCTAATACTGCATTTTTAAAACTATTCCAACCCTCTTCAACCCCCCACTACTCATACTTGCACTAGCCCACCATTCTGCCAATAGTTGCTTATATCTCACCCAAACTTCGTCCTCCCTTAGTTTATACACTTTCACTTCTCTCTTACTTGTTTGCAATCCTAATGGCGCTAAAGCTAACCTATGACACTGAGCTTGACTCTGTCATCATTACTAATTCTATGTCATCACTGAAGGCTCTTGACTCATATAATGACTCCAACAACATGCTCATTGGGGAAGCCAGGTATAGATACTCAAAAATTAGGGACAAAGGAATTAATGTACAATTGCTATGGATCCCATCACACATTGGATTACTCCTTCATGATAAAGTTGATATGTTAGCCAAGAAGAGTACCCAGAAGGAGAATGTAGAATATAACTTTGGTATAACTGTGTCTAGCATTAGGAATAATATTAGGAGAAGTAAATAATGAAAATGATTGTTATAGGAATGCAGTTAGAAGCCTGAGTAGATCTATAACCCACTATGATAACATGAACGTAGATAAGTATGTTTATGGAGCAACTTGCAATGTGAACAGACTGACTGATGTTGTAGTGGCCAGGCTTAGGCTTGGTTACAAGTACTTCTGGCAGTTTGGGAGACACACAGATGATGATCAAACTAAATGTAAATTATGTGATCAGGCATATGGTCACTCTCTTGAACACTATGTGCTTAATTGTCCACTCATTGAGGAATACAGAGACAGACAGTATAATAACCTATGTGACATGTCAAGATATCTTATTAATGAAAATAAGATACCAGATATACTAAGCAAATTTCCTAAATTTGCTTGTAACAGATAAGTGAACTATAGATATGTAGATATAAATCCATATGTATTTCTGTTAACCCTTTGGGGCCTAGTTCCTAGGCCTTTTGTGTATCCATATGCTCTCGCGCTACCGTCCACAGGATGGATATGGGGTGCACAATAAACTAGCCACTTCGGTGGCAAAAATCTCTTACTTGTTGTTGCCATTTTCCTCGTCCCATCTACCTCTTACTCTAGCTGTAGCTACAACTAAATAATGGTCCGTTATATCAGTTGCCCCTCTATAAACATGTACATCCTGGAGCCTACCCATCAACCTTTTATCCACCAATGGGAGCCCTTTGATTGAACTTTGTATAGAAAGGGGTTTAGTTATAGGTAATACATATTTTAAGAAAAAGAGGATAAATAAGTATACACGATATGATGTAGGGCGAAATGACAGTAGTTTGTTGGATTAGGTATTGGTAGATAAAAGACTGTTGAGTAGACTTCAGGATGTACATGTTTATAGAGGGGCCACAGATATATCAGATCACTTTCTAGTTGTAGCTACACTGAGAGTAAAAGGTAGATGGGATACAAGGAGAATAGAAGCATCAGGGAAGAGAGAGGTGAAGGTTTATAAACTAAAAGAGGAGGCAGTTAGGGTAAGATATAAACAGCTATTGGAGGATAGATGGGCTAATGAGAGCATAGGCAATGGGTCGAAGAGGTATGGGGTAGGTTTAAAAAATGTAGTGTTAGAGTGTTCAGCAGAAGTTTGTGGTTACAGGAAAGTGGGTGCAGGAGGGAAGAGGAGCGATTGGTGGAATGATGATGTAAAGAGAGTAGTAAGGGAGAAAAAGTTAGCATATGAGAAGTTTTTACAAAGTAGAAGTGATGCAAGGAGGGAAGAGTATATGGAGAAAAAGAGAGAAGTTAAGAGAGTGGTGAAGCAATGTAAAAGAGAGCAAATGAGAGAGTGGGTGAGATGTTATCAACAAATTTTGTTGAAAATAAGAAAAAGTTTTGGAGTGAGATTAACAAGTTAAGAAAGCCTAGAGAACAAATGGATTTGTCAGTTAAAAATAGGAGAGGAGAGTTATTAAATGGAGAGTTAGAGGTATTGGGAAGATGGAAGGAATATTTTGAGGAATTGTTAAATGTTGATGAAGATAGGGAAGCTGTGATTTCGTGTATAGGGCAAGGAGGAATAACATCTTGTAGGAGTGAGGAAGAGCCAGTTGTGAGTGTGGGGGAAGTTCGTGAGGCAGTAGGTAAAATGAAAGGGGGTAAGGCAGCCGGGATTGATGGGATAAAGATAGAAATGTTAAAAGCAGGTGGGGATATAGTTTTGGAGGGGTTGGTGCAATTATTTAATAAATGTATGGAAGAGGTAAGGTACCTAGGGATTGGCAGAGAGCATGCATAGTTCCTTTGTATAAAGGCAAAGGGGATAAAAGAGAGTGCAAAAATTATAGGGGGATAAGTCTGTTGAGTGTACCTGTAAAGTGTATGATAGAGTTATAATTGAAAGAATTAAGAGTAAGACGGAGAATAGGATAGCAGATGAACAAGGAGGCTTTAGGAAAGGTAGGGGGTGTGTGGACCAGGTGTTTACAGTGAAACATATAAGTGAACAGTATTTAGATAAGGCTAAAGAGGTCTTTGTGGCATTTATGGATTTGGAAAAGGCGTATGACAGGGTGGATAGGGGGGCAATGTGGCAGATGTTGCAAGTGTATGGTGTAGGAGGTAGGTTACTGAAAGCAGTGAAGAGTTTTTACGAGGATAGTGAGGCTCAAGTTAGAGTATGTAGGAAAGGGGGAAAATTTTTCCCAGTAAAAGTAGGCCTTAGACAAGGATGTGTGATGTCACCGTGGTTGTTTAATATATTTATAGATGGGGTTGTAAGAGAAGTAAATGCGAGGGTCTTGGCAAGAGGCGTGGAGTTAAAAGATAAAGAATCACACACAAAGTGGGAGTTGTCACAGCTGCTCTTTGCTGATGACACTGTGCTCTTGGAGATTCTGAAGAGAAGTTGCAGAGATTGGTGGATGAATTTGGTAGGGTAATGCAAAAGAAGAAAATTAAAGGTGAATACAGGAAAGAGTAAGGTTATGAGGATAACAAAAAGATTAGGTGATGAAAGATTGAATATCAGATTGGAGGGAGAGAGTATGGAGGAGGTGAACGTATTCAGATATTTGGGAGTGGACGTGTCAGCGGATGGGTCTATGAAAGATGAGGTGAATCATAGAATTGATGAGGGAAAAAGAGTGAGTGGTGCACTTAGGAGTCTGTGGAGACAAAGAACTTTGTCCTTGGAGGCAAAGAGGGGAATGTATGAGAGTATAGTTTTACCAACGCTCTTATATGGGTGTGAAGCGTGGGTGATGAATGTTGCAGCGAGGAGAAGGCTGGAGGCAGTGGAGATGTCATGTCTGAGGGCAATGTGTGGTGTGAATATAATGCAGAGAATTCGTAGTTTGGAAGTTAGGAGGAGGTGCGGGATTACCAAAACTGTTGTCCAGAGGGCTGAGGAAGGGTTGTTGAGGTGGTTCGGACATGTAGAGAGAATGGAGCGAAACAGAATGACTTCAAGAGTGTATCAGTCTGTAGTGGAAGGAAGGCGGGGTAGGGGTCGGCCTAGGAAGGGTTGGAGGGAGGGGTAAAGGAGGTTTTGTGTGCGAGGGGCTTGGACTTCCAGCAGGCATGCGTGAGCGTGTTTGATAGGAGTGAATGGAGACAAATGGTTTTTAATACTTGACGTGCTGTTGGAGTGTGAGCAAAGTAACATTTATGAAGGGATTCAGGGAAACCGGCAGGCCGGACTTGAGTCCTGGAGATGGGAAGTACAGTGCCTGCACTCTGAAGGAGGGGTGTTAATGTTGCAGTTTAAAAACTGTAGTGTAAAGCACCCTTCTGGCAAGACAGTGATGGAGTGAATGATGGTGAAAGTTTTTCTTTTTCGGGCCACCCTGCCTTGGTGGGAATCGGCCGGTGTGATAATAATAAAAAAAAAAACATTATCTAACAAACTACTTTCATTACATGCTATATCATACCTTGTATATTTATTTATCCTCTTTTTCATAAAATATGCATTACTTATTACCAAACCTTTTTCTACACATGGCTCAATTAAAGGCTCCCCCATTTTCATTTACCCCTGGCACCCCAAATTTACCTACTACTCCCTCCACAACATTTTTACCGCATTTAGCACTGAAATCCCCAACCACAAGTACTCTCACACTTGGTTCAAAACTCCCCATGCATTCACTCAACATTTCCCAAAATCTTTCTCTCTTCTCTACACTTCTCTCTTCTCCAGGAGCACATACTCTTACTATAACCCACTTTTCACATCCAACCTTTATTTTACTGCACATAATCCTTGAATTAATACATTTATACTCCCTCTTTTCCTGCCATTTTTGCTACTCCTTCTTTAGATCTAACTATTCGAAACCCCTGACCTAATCCCATTTATTTCTCCCCATTAAAACTCTCCCACCCCCTTCATCTTCGTTTCACTTAATTTTACCTTTATTAATTCATTAAACTGAGATTTCATTACACTGTCTACATATATAAATAAAAGCTACTCAAGATTAGAAGCATGAAAACAATAAAAAAACTCACTCATCTAATGTCAGGATTTCTGGGCAGCCTACCACGATGAGTAGAGCCTTCGCTCGAGTCACAGACACATTGAATCTCTGAAAACAGGCATATCTGTTGTACACATTAAATCTGGACAACTTCAGTCACAAGACTTCTTTTATTAAGAAGTTGAGATATCGAGAGAAAGGAACAGCGACAAAATGCACAATATGTTGAGAAGATAATTAAGGCATATTACATTTATGGACAAATCCTCAATGAAGAAAAAACAATACAAATTAAGAATACAAACTGCAAGTTCTATTTACTATCTCTCCAGGAAAGGCACTGCTCACAACTCTTAGGAAATGAAAAAGCCTGGGTAACATTTTGGTTTGTACTAGACTATTTTAAAGATCTTACATATTTCAGCTCATGCAAATGCTTAAGTTCTACAGATATAATTTGCTTATGAGTAAAAATATGTCACCATGTAGAAAAAGTTTAAGACTTTTTTTTAAGGTGTCGGCTGTCTCCCAACAAGGCAAGGTGACCCAAAAATGAAAAACACTTTCACCATCATTCACACAATCATTGTCTTTACAGAGGTGCCCAAATATGAGAGTTTAGATTTCACTCCAAAGAGCCTATATTTCCTCTTTTTAAAGTGTAGGCAGTGTACTTCCCACCTCCAGGACTCAATTCCAGCTAACCAGTTTCCCAAAATCCCTTCACCAAATACTACCCTGCTCAAACTCCAACAGCTCGCCAGATCCCATAAAACATTCATCTCCATTCACACCTATCTAACACGCTCACACATGCCCCAACACATTATGAGATATTTAGTAGTAACCAGAGATATGCAGCAACTTCTTGTTTTGGATATGCACAAGGTGTAGGTAGTACACCAGGTGTCCTCCAGTTTTAAAATTATATTATTGCAATGCAATTATTTTCCTCATGCAATGTATGCTGCAAGACTTTTTTTTATATGGTGCACACTTATCACATAGACCAATTCTCTCAGATCTAGGCCCAAATTTATCGCTCAGAGCTTATCTGAGTGAGGTGAGCTCGTGGCACAGTACTACACCACGGATATACCTGTAGTACTATGGCGCAGATGGTGAAGTGGTTAAGTCCAGGAGGTGGGACATACAGTGCATGCACTGTGCACAATGGATGGAGAAGGGTCACCTGAATTGTGAGGTCTGCACACTTCTAATGAGAGTTATGGAATGATTGATATTGAACATATTTCCTTATTTTGAATCACCATGCCTAGTTGGGAGACTGCTGGTTTATAAAAAATTATACTCTGGATAACCATTTGAAAGTACAAATCAAATTGAACATTCTGTGTTTGCTTTATATTAACTGCAGGTTTAGTTACCAGGAGAACTTTCGGTGTACCTTAGGATTACGCAAAAAGCCAAGTTTGAAGAACTGATCTGAAGCCAAGTGATCAGCGGAGGCACGAACAGTGGATATGATTATGACTCTCCGCTCATCTCCTTGGAATTCTTCAGGGGAGCCCACTCTGAGATCACTGGTATTCTTCATTTTCCTCAACTGATTCCTGATCTGTTAAATACAAACAAAAGAAATAAAATAGGCATGGCATAAGACAAAAATTAAAGGAATAAATCTAATTTGACTTTTTAGTAATTGAATACAGAAGTGGTCAACACACTCCCACTCTGCTCATGGCATTTTAGCCAATGAGCGGCATTTTAGCCACCCTTTATGAGAAGTGGCTTTCGGGGAAGAATTCTAGTCCATCCTCATTGGAGAGAGAGCCAAAGAGGGGTTATTTAAGTGATTTTGGCATGTAGAGAGGATAGACAGGGATAAGATAAGAAAGAGGGTGTATAAATCTGGGATAGAAGGAAGAGGAGTCAGGGTGGGAGAACAAGGTGCTTTGAGTTTTAGGGGCTAGGCAGAAATTTAATGCTTACAGCTATTACGGTGTAAGCAAGGTAATATTTTGTAAAAGGATTCAGGAAAACCAGTTAGCTGGACTTGAACCCTGGAGGTAGAAAGTACAGTGCCTGCACCCTAAAAGAGGGGTTTTGGGTATTTGGAAGGACATCTAAACTGTTATAACTGTACACCTCTTGGAAGACAGTGATAGTGTAAATTATAGTTTAAGTAATTCTTTATCGAGTCGCCCCTGCCTTGGTGGGAGATGGCCAATATGTATTAAAAAAAAAAAAATTAAAACTCTAGCCTTCGTCTCCTCTTCTGTTACAATTGGTTATTAATGCATCAAAGTACTACTTTCTCTTACATTAACCTTGAATTTAAAAATAAAAAGAAAAATGATCCTGTAGACACTAAGGTACATAGATATCGCAGAATTACAAAAAATTATCTCCAGTGAGGCTAGTTTCATTCCTGTCTATTGTCTATTCATACAATCTAAAGCTTACCTTTTCCACTTGTTTTCTGTAAGGAGTTATTATTCCAATTTCCTTAGGCATGATCTTGGGATTCCGAGAGTCGAGGAGTTTCTTTACGTAGTCGATCACTGTGGATACCTATTATAATTGATCAACATTATTTCTATAAATCTGCTACAAATGGAAGAAATGGGAGGGAAAAATACTGAAATCAAGAAACTGTGACTATTCATCTATAATTTCTCTGCACTTGTCAATCAAAAACATTAATAAACAAAAGTCATCAAGGCAACTTCTTTCTCTGGTAGCTAAATGAAGGCATAAATATTTATATAAATTCCTTATTAGTAAAGATTACTAAAAAGAATAAGAAAATTGTCTAAGTGGGAAGTCTGAATGTGTGTGGATGTTGTGCAAATGATAAGAAAGAGATGATTGTGGATGTTATGAATGAGAAGAAGCTGGATGTCCTGGCTTTAAGTGAAACAAAGCTGAAGGGGGTGGGAGAGTTTCAATGGAGAGGAATAAATGGGATTAGGTCAGGGGTTTCAAATAGAGTTAGAGCTAAAGAAGGAGTAGCAATAATGTTGAAGGATAAGCTATGGCAGGAAAAGAGGGACTATAAATGTATAAATTCAAGGATTATGAGGAGTAAAATAAAGATTGGATGTGAAAAGTGGGTTATAATAAGCGTGTATGCACCTGGAGAAGAGAGAAGTGCAGAGGAGAGAGAGAGAGATTTTGGGAAATGTTGAGTGAATGCGTGGGGAGTTTTGAATCAAGTGTGAGAGTAATGGTGGTTGGGGATTTCAATGCTAAAGTGGGTAAAAATGTTATGGAGGGAGTAGTAGGTAAATTTGGGGTGCCAGGGGTAAATGTAAATGGGGAGCCTTTAATTGAGCTATGTGTAGAAAGAGATTTGGTAATAAGTAATACATATTTTATGAAAAAAAGAGGATAAATAAATATACAAGGTATGATGTAGCACATAATGAAAGTAGTTTATTAGATTATGTATTGGTGGATAAAAGATTGATGGGTAGGCTCCAGGATGTACATGTTTATAGAGGGGCAACTGATATATCGGATCATTATTTAGTTGTAGCTACAGTTAGAGTAAGAGGTAGATGGGAAAAAGAGGAAGGTGGCAACAACAAGTAAGAGGGAAGTGAAAGTGTATAAACTAAGGGAGGAGGAAGTTCGGGTGAGATATAAGCGACTATTGGCAGAAAGGTGGGCTAGTGCAAAGATGAGTAGTGGGGGGGTTGAAGAGGGTTGGAATAGTTTTAAAAATGCAGTATTAGAATGTGGGGCAGAAGTTTGTGGTTATAGGAGGGTGGGTGCAGGAGGAAAGAGGAGTGATTGGTGGAATGATGGAGTAAAGGGTGTGATAAAAGAGAAAAAGGTAGCTTACGAGAGGTTTTTACAAAGCAGAAGTGTTATAAGAAGAGCAGAGTATATGGAGAGTAAAAGAAAGGTAAAGAGAGTGGTGAGAGAGTGCAAAAGGAGAGCAGATGACAAAGTGGGAGAGGCACTGTCAAGAAATTTTAATGAAAATAAGAAAAAATTTTGGAGTGAGTTAAACAAGTTAAGAAAGCCTAGGGAAAGTATGGATTTGTCAGTTAAAAGCAGAGTAGGGGAGTTAGTAGATGGGGAGATGGAGGTATTAGGTAGATGGCGAGAATATTTTGAGGAACTCTTAAATGTTAAGGAAGAAAGAGAGGAAGTAATTTCATGCACTGGACAGGGAGGTATACCATCTTTTAGGAGTGAAGAAGAGCAGAATGTAAATGTGGGGGAGGTACGCGAGGCATTACGTAGAATGAAAGGGGGTAAAGCAGCTGGAACTGATGGGATCAAGACAGAAATGTTAAAAGCAAGAGGGGATATAGTGTTGGAGTGGTTCGTACTTTTGTTTAATAAATGTATGAAAGAGGGGAAGGTACCTAGGGATTGGCAGAGAGCATGTATAGTCCCTTTATATAAAGGGAAAGGGGACAAGAGAGACTGCAAAAATTATAGAGGAATAAGTTTACTGAGTATACCAGGAAAAAGTGTATGGTAGGGTTATAATTGAAAGAATTAGAGGTAAGACAGAATGTAGGATTGCGGATGAGCAAGGAGGTTTCAGAGTGGGTAGGGGATGTGTAGATCAAGTGTTTACATTGAAGCATATATGTGAACAGTATTTAGATAAAGGTAGGGAAGTTTTTATTGCATTTATGGATTTAGAAAAGGCATGTGATAGAGTGGATAGAGGAGCAATGTGGCAGATGTTGCAAGTATATGGAATAGGTGGTAAGTTATTAAATGCTGTAAAGAGTTTTTATGAGGATAGTGAGGCTCAGGTTAGGGTGTGTAGAAGAGAGGGAGACTACTTCCCAGTACAAGTAGGTCTTAGACAGGGATGTGTAATGTCACCATGGTTGTTTAATATATTTATAGATGGGGTTGTAAAGGAAGTAAATGCTAGGGTGTTCGGGAGAGGGGTGGGATTAAATTTTGGGGAATCAAATTCAAAATGGGAATTGACACAGTTACTTTTTGCTGATGATACTGTGCTTATGGGAGATTCTAAAGAAAAATTGCAAAGGTTAGTGGATGAGTTTGGGAATGTGTGTAAAGGTAGAAAGTTGAAAGTGAACATAGAAAAGAGTAAGGTAATGAGGGTATCAAATGATTTAGATAAAGAAAAATTGGATATCAAATTGGGGAGGAGGAGTATGGAAGTGAATGTTTTCAGATACTTGGGAGTTGACGTGTCGGCGGATGGATTTATGAAGGATGAGGTTAATCATAGAATTGATGAGAGAAAAAAGGTGAGTGGTGCACTGAGGTATATGTGGAGTCAAAAAACGTTATCTATGGAGGCAAAGAAGGGAATGTATGAAAGTATAGTAGTACCAACACTCTTATATGGGTGTGAAGCTTGGGTGGTAAATGCAGCAGCGAGGAGGTGGTTGGAGGCAGTGGAGATGTCCTGTTTAAGGGCAATGTGTGGTGTAAATATTATGCAGAAAATTCGGAGTATGGAAATTAGGAAAAGGTGTGGAGTTAATAAAAGTATTCGTCAGAGGGCAGAAGAGGGGTTGTTGAGGTGGTTTGGTCATTTAGAGAGAATGGATCAAAGTAGAATGACATGGAAAGCATATAAATCTATAGGGGAAGGAAGGAGGGGTAGGGGTCGTCCTCGAAAGGGTTGGAGAGAGGGGGTAAAGGAGGTTTTGTGGGCAAGGGGCTTGGACTTCCAGCAAGCGTGCGTGAGCGTGTTAGATAGGAGTGAATGGAGACGAATGGTACTTGGGACCTGACGAGCTGTTGGAGTATGAGCAGGGTAATATGTAGTGAAGGGATTCAGGAAAACCGGTTATTTTCATATAGTCGGACTTGAGTCCTGGAAATGGGAAGTACAATGCTTGCACTTTAACGGAGGGGTTTGGGATATTGGCAGTTTGGAGGGATATGTTGTGTATCTTTATATGTATATCCTTCTAAACTGTTGTATTCTGAGCACCTCTGCAAAAACAGTGATAATGTGTGAGTGAGGTGAAAGTGTTGAATGATGATGATGATGATGATGAAAGTATTTTCTTTTTTGGATTTTCTTTCTTTTTTGGGTCACCCTGCCTCGGTGGGAGATGGCCGACTTGTTGAAAAAAAAAATGTAGAAATAAATAAATTTCTAACAAAATACTAAATTTTCTGTTGTAAGAATTAAATTTTCCTTACATGCCTAAATCTATAGGGGGTTATTCAGATATTAACAGTACTGTATATAAATAAAAACGACATATGGAAAATGAAATGACAATTGTTCCATATTATTGTACAGTATTTTGTAATAATAAAACCTCTATTTCAGAAATAAAGGACAAAATCTGCTGTATCAACCGATTTGGGAACAACAGACAAGATTGTTGGTTACACAATTGTTAGTTATTGTTGCACTCGTGGAAAATCAATCTTACCTCTAACATCTACAAATGTCACTGCCAGACACCCTCTTCCTCTCCACCATTATTCTATTAAACCGAGGGTTTATTGTACATTTTAATATTCATGCAAAAGCTTACCAAGCACCTTTGCATTAATCATTAATAGTATATGAACTAATACTTCCATGGTGTGATATGGCCGGTTTGTTGAAAGAAGAACTAATACTTTCTCTGTTATATTATCCTAAACCAAAACTTCATTCTTAAAACCTACTCAAAAGTACAATTTCTGCTTTCCTCCCAAGTAAAAATTGCAATGTATATTATTTCCAAAAAACACAATCACTTTTACTAAGTTAGTTCAAATAATGAACAATTTGTAGACTGTTTAACACTCCAGCCTCAAGGACTATACAATACTGTACAAAAATTTGGATTACTCAATAAAATAGGTGTTATTTTTCTTTAGCCTTAATTATTCCTTTTTGAGCATCAGTCTGCAAAAACTATATATTCATCAGTTTACTGGTATAGAAGGTATAAATTGCCTTAAGGTTACAAAATGACACATCATAGTTGTCAAAAAAGATACTTCATTTCTAACCTAATTGGTTGTCCCCTACCAAGGTAGGAAACACATTCATCATTATTCACTGAAGTGCCATCTTACTACATTCTTCCAATAAAACTTTGTACATCCAAGCATGTCACAGATATAACAAACCTCAAGTGAATTGAAAAAGCTGGGAGAATTTCCTTCACGTTCATCTTTGCCTTTCACTGCATGGAAAATGAGGGGAAAGTTTTTCTTTGGCAGATGTTCCCAGCTACATAGAGACGTCACCAGCACTTTATCAGCACACACCTTTAAATAAAACCAACATGTTAATACATTATATACCTACCCAAGATGTAAAATACAATAAAATCACAGGCTAATTTAAAATTACTCAATATAACAAATATAAATAATAATGGATTTTTAGACAATTATAATTACTTGTCATTAGATCAGCATATATTTTTTTATCTAGGTTGCCTAGGGTTCAACCAAGCCTATGTCCAATCCTCAGCTCTAGCAAGGTCTTACAAACACTAATGGTAGCCATTTTGCTATATTAGATCATAAGAGAATTGAGTCTTGGGAAGACCCTAGCACTATTCCAAACCTGTTTGCATTCAGACATGGGGTTTATTCACAAATTTTTATCAATGTGATGTCACTAGGTCTTATCAGCAGCTTTCTCTAAACCAAAAATAGAGAAACTTTAGCCAATATTCAGGAAACCTACTACAAATACAGGAAGGCCCCGCTTTACGGCGTTTCACTTTACGGCGTTCCGCTAATACGGACATTTCAAATTATGACCAAAACTCACTATACGGCTCCCCCCACCTGACTTTCTAATACGGTCACCGTGCCCCACCCTGTTTGTTTACATTCTCCATGAGCTCAGTAAGCACTAAGTCTCTCCATTTTGTCTGGAAACTCCAAAATTTCAAATGTTTTTAAAAGTTATTTCATATTTTATATATACTCTGATAATTATACTTATGTATACCTGTACCTAAATAAACTTACATACATCGAGTCATTTAAATGTCGTATATTACGTTAATATACACATTTTCATTAATCCATCCATGATATTTTTTTCAAAAATTATATAATAAACACGATGCATAACATATAAATAAGATAAATACACCCCACAGTAGAATAAATAAACAAATGTGAGATGTCGTAGCAGACGACTTGCACAAGTGGTGATAATAACAATACCGAGTCTCATTAAATGTCGTATATTACGGTAATATACACATTTTCATTAATCCATCCATGATATTTTTTTCAAAATCATATAATAAACACGATGCATAACATATAAATAAGATAAATACACCCCACAGTAGAATAAATAAACAAATGTGAGATGTCGTAGCAGACGACTTGCACAAGTGGTGATAATAACAATACCGAGTCTCATTAAATGTCGTATATTACGGTAATATACACATTTTCATTAATCCATCCATGATATTTTTTTCAAAATTATATAATAAACACGATACATAACATAAAAAGATGATAAATACACCCACAATAGAATAAATAAACATAAATATAAGATGTGGGAGAGCCACATAACTTGTACAAGTGACGCCAAGAATAACATTTTCTCTAATCTAACATAAGAGTAAATGTGTTACTGGGGGTAACTGTAGAAAATTATTCCTTTCGTATGTATGTAAGTAAGTTTATTCAGGTATACACAAATACAGTTACATAGATTATCATACATAAACAACATACGTGTAGAGAACCTAGGATAACCCAAAAAAGTCAGTGTGACTTATTTCCATTGCCTTCACTCAGAGCTTCATTTCTTCTCAAAATGATGTTACATGAGAATGGGAGTGTTCTTCTTTATTAATTCTACCGTATCAATGTAGAGACAACTGTACACAATGTAACTTGTACACAAACCAGACGTGTACACTTCGTTTGTTTACAAAACTTACCTTCCCCTGGTTTGTTTACATAACTGCGCCTGCCCCTCTCATGTATTCATTCTTTCTCTCTCTCATTTATTCGTTTTATCTCATTTACTTACTCCTGACCCTACATTAAGACTACAAATATTTTAAGGTAAGTAATGAGTGAACTGTATATACATTTTATCGCTCTGGGATGCTTAAATATCATAGAATAGTATGTGTGGGTGGGGTGGCCTGGTGAGGCTATTACAATACATACCACACTTGATTTCTTACAATAAATACTACTTGTCTCACCCTAGATTAAGACTATAAATATTTTAAGGTAAGTAATGAGTGCACTATGTGTGTATTGTACCTTTTTATTGTTTTTTGATGCCTGGTTCTATTGCTAACTTAATATATGTTAGTGTAAACTTGTTATCTAGTGTTTGTATGCATTTATAAGTGGAAAAAAAGGGTGTTCCACTTTACGGCGATTTCCGCTTTACGGCGGTAGCCTGGAACCTAACCCGCCGTATAAGTGGGGCCTTCCTGTATATGCATCAAGGAGATGGAGTTAAATCTTTGGTGGAGCAACCCTTTCTAAAACTGAATTAATGGCAAGACAATTAAGCCACTCCAGATACCAGTTTACAAATATAGCTGGTAAGAACAACAGGTGTATAAACATGAATATCTCGCAATGAAATATAATCGAAAGATGTAAGTTACCTTCAACTCAGACTCGTAGAATATTTCATTGGGTTCCTTGAGGATATCTTTATGCGAGCGGTAGTTATTGAGTAACTTGGTCACTACCTGATTGTTGAAGGACCCATTTTTTGCTTGGTACATATCCATCTCCATCATCCTCTCTAAGTATGATTTATCTGTCAGAAAAGAGATATAAAAATATCTTCCACATCTGTTTTTTTTATATACAGTCCATCGCCCATTGAAGTAGACACACAAAAAAGAAGCAACACTTTCACAGTGGGGATCGGGCATCGCATATCATCTCACTAATAAATTTACCCGAGTGTTGCATGTATCTAACTGATCATCTCGTTGGTAAAGTATGCCATTTATATCTATTAATTATTACAGAGTGGTGAGAGAGTGCAAAAGGAGAGCAGATGATAGAGTGGGAGAGGTACTGTCAAGAAATTTTAATGAAAATAAGAAAAATTTTTGGAGTAAGTTAAACAAGTTAAGAAAGCCTAGGGAAAGTATGGATTTGTCAGTTAAAAACAGTAGGGGAGTTAGTAGATGGGGAGATGGAGGTATTACATAGATGGGGAGAATATTTTGAGGAACTTTTAAATGTTAAGGAAGAAAGAGAGGCAGTAATTTCATGCACTAGTCAGGGAGGTATACCATCTTTTAGGAGTGAAGAAGAGCAGAATGTAAGTGTGGGGGAGATACGCGAGGCATTACGTAGAATGAAAGGGGGTAAAGCAGCTGGAACTGATGGGATCATGACAGAAATGTTAAAAGCAGGGGGGGATATAGTGTTGAAGTGGTTGGTACTTTTGTTTAATAAATGTATGAAAGAGGGGAAGGTACCTAGGGATTGGCGGAGAGCTTGTATAGTCCCTTTATATAAAGGGAAAGGGGACAAAAGAGACTGTAAAAATTATAGAGGAATAAGTTTACTGAGTATACAAGGAAAAGTGTACGGTAGGGTTATAATTGAAAGAATTAGGGGGTAAGACAGAATGTAGGATTGCGGATGAGCAAGGAGGTTTCAGAGTGGGTAGGGGATGTGTAGATCAAGTGTTTACATTGAAGCATATATGTGAACAGTATTTAGATAAAGGTAGGGAAGTTTTTATTGCATTTATGGATTTAGAAAAGGGCATGTGATAGAGTGGATAGAGGAGCAATGTGGCAGATGTTGCAAGTATATGGAATAGGTGGTAAGTTATTAAATGCTGTAAAGAGGTTTTTATGAGGATAGTGAGGCTCAGGTTAGGGTGTGTAGAAGAGAGGGAGACTACTTCCCGGTAAAGTAGGTCTTAGACAGGGATGTGTAATGTCACCATGGTTGTTTAATATATTTATAGATGGGGTTGTAAAGGAAGTAAATGCTAGGGTGTTCGGGAGGGGGGGTGGGATTAAATTTTGGGGAATCAAATTCAAAATGGGAATTGACACAGTTACTTTTTGCTGATGATACTGTGCTTATGGGAGATTCTAAAGAAAAAATTGCAAAAGTTAGTGGATGAGTTTGGGAATGTGTGTAAGGTAGAAAGTTTGAAAGTGAACATAGAAAAGAGTAAGGTGATGAGGGTATCAAATGATTTAGATAAAGAAAAATTGGATATCAAATTGGGGAGGAGGAGTATGGAAGAAGTGAATGTTTTCAGATACTTGGGAGTTGACGTGTCAGCGGATGGATTTATGAAGGATGAGGTTAATCATAGAATTGATGAGAGAAAAAAGGCGAGTGGTGCGTTGAGGTATATGTGGAGTCAAAAAACGTTCTCTATAGAGGCAAAGAAGGGAATGTATGAAAGTATGTAGTACCAACACTCTTATATGGGTGTGAAGCTTGGGTGGTAAATGCAGCAGCGAGGAGACGGTTGGAGGCAGTGGAGATGTCCTGTTTAAGGACAATGTGTGGTGTAAATATTATGCAGAAAATTCAGAGTGTGGAAATTAGGAAAAGGTGTGGAGTTAATAAAAGTATTAGTCAGAGGGCAGAAGAGGGGTTGTTGAGGTGGTTTGGTCATTTAGAGAGAATGGATCAAAGTAGAATGACATGGAAAGCATATAAATCTATAGGGGAAGGAAGGCGGGGTAGGGGTCGTCCTCGAAAGGGTTGGAGAGAGGGGGTAAAGGAGGTTTTGTGGGCAAGGGGCTTGGACTTCCAGCAAGCGTGCGTGAGCGTGTTTGATAGGAGTGAATGGAGACGAATGGTACTTGGGACCTGACGATCTGTTGGAGTGTGAGCAGGGTAATATTTAGTGAAGGGATTCAGGGAAACCGGTTATTTTCATATAGTCGGACTTGAGTCCTGGAAATGGGAAGTACAATGCCTGCACTTTAAAGGAGGGGTTTGGGATATTGGCAGTTTGGAGGGATATGTTGTGTATCTTTATATGTATATGCTTCTGAACTGTTGTATTCTGAGCACCTCTGCAAAAACAGTAATTATGTGCGAGTGTGGTGAAAGTGTTGAATGATGATGAAAGTATTTTCTTTTGGGGATTTTCTTTCTTTTTTGGGTCACCCTGCCTCAATGGGAGACGGCCGACTTGTTGAAAAAAAAACAAATTATTCCAGGGATAATAAACCTAAGATCAGGTCTCTTAAATAGGAAGTGAAAATATCACAGATAATAGAACCATTAACCCTTTGAGGGTTTTGGTCGTACTAGTATGTTTTACGCGTAGGGGTTTTTGACGTACTAGTACTCATAAATTCTAGCGGCCTCAAATCTAGTGGGAGAAAGCTGGTAGGCCTTCATATGAAAGAATGGGTCTATGTGGTCAGTGTGCACAGTCTAAAAAAAATCCTGCAGCACACAGTGCATAATGAGAAAAAAAAAACTGACCATTTTTTTTTAATAAATCAGCGACTTTGCAGTGTATTTTCGTATGGTATTTATTGTTGTATTCTAGTTTTCTTGGTCTCATTTTATAGAATGGAAGACATATTACAGAAATTGAGATGATTTTGACTGGTTTTACAATGAAATGTGCCTTGAAATTGAACTCAAAGTAGCAGAAATGTTCGATTTTTACCAAACTTCAAAAGTAAACAAATCGTGCCAAGCGGTGCAATACACGTCAACTGGTGAGTCTAATATTCTTTTACAAGTGCACCAATAATATTTATACCATTTTTTACACTAATACAGTAGTCTGCATAACAGTAAATCTTATATTTTTTGTGAGAATAAAAATTCAAAGTGGAAAGCAAAAGAATATAAGAGGGGCCTTGAGACGTGACTAATGACTAGAGGAAATGTCATTTTAGTGCCAGGAATGTCTTTCTTGTTTATTTCTGGACCCTATTCGGAAATTGGCATCTTTTGAAATTTTGTGTGAAATTGGTAAAATTGCTAAATTCTGACCACTGTACTGGATAGTTGAATTTATAAATGGGTGGTTTCTTGCACCCATTCGATAGAAAAAATGTAGTTCTAGCGAAATATTCATGTTTTTTGTCGACTAGTACAGTGAAATTGGCCGAAAATGGGGCTCAAAGTGGGCAAAATCGCCGATGTGTAAACATCGCCGAGACCGCTAACTTTGCAAGAGCATAATTCCGTAAGTTTTCTATCAAATTTCAAACTTTTAGTGTCTTTATGATCGGGAAAAGATTCTCTATCTTTTCATAAGAGAAAATATTTTTTTTTTTTTTAAATTTGGCCGACCCTGAGAACGAGTTTCGGAGAGGGCCTGTCGACCCTCAAAGGGTTAAAATCCATGGGAAAATAGACAAGAATTATTCTTCCGCAAGCCATGCATGTCTTAAGAGGCAACTACAATTGTGGGAGCTAGGGGCTAGTAACCCCCTCTCTTGTATAAATTACTAAATGTAAAAAGAAAAACTTTCTTTTACGGGTCACCCTGCCTTTGTGGTAGAGAAGGCCGGTGTTTAAAAAAAAAAAAAAAAAAGATAATCAAGGTACAAGAATACTGAATGAAAGTAGTAATTTGCAAGTTTTACCTATCATCTTGCATAAAATAATTCTGTTCAAATGCAAAATATTTAACATTTTTCAGTTAAACATTCACATAGACTATAAGGTTGTTGTCTGCAACCTACGACATGTTCTGGGCTACACAAATGCTTTGATTCTACACAGCAATCAGGTTTTGATAATGCATGATATCAGTGCTATTGGTAAACTGATCTTCACAGCTGCTTTACTGTTACATCTGCAGGTTAGCCGAGAATACTGAAACAAATATTTTCAGGACAACATCAAAATACTATTAAGATATGTTAAATTTGAGAATTGCTAAGAAAAATGTTTAGTTAATAAGAGTACTAACCCAAGCCATTGTTAAAGAAGAGTTTTTCACAAGAAAAGCACTGAGTATTTCTTATTACAGGACCCAGCTGAAAAGGATCACCAGCCAACACCACCTGGCCATCCTTGGACAAAACTCCTGCCAGCGGAACCATTGCTTCAGGTTCCATGGCATGTCCACACTCGTCAAGGAACACATGAGTTATATGACCAACAGGAAAGGCAGCCGATACAATCCTGAAAAGAAAATGAAGAAACTTACTATGTTGCAAAATTGAGCTCTACATACTGATACAAAAGGATTAGATTTTTATTATTATTATCAAAACCTAGCACTAAACCTACTGGGGTCATACAGTGCTGCATAAAAAAAGATTAAGAGCAAATCTGATTAGCTTGCAATCATATATGGTATGTGCTGCAATAACTGGCATATAGAGAATCAAGCCTTCACTACTCTGTGCTCAATGACCCACATGGGTTTAGTACCTCACACAATTTGGGAGCATATATATAAAAAAAAAGAAAGTTAAAGGTGAATATAGAAAAGAGGAAGATGCAATGAGTAACCAAAGAGGGTAGGCAATAAAAGATTGGAGAGATGAGAATGAATTCAAATATTAGGGAGAGGTCATGTCAGCAGATGGGTCTATGAAAGATGAAGTGAACTACAGAACAGATGAGAGGAAAAAGTTAGTAGTGTTGGAGCATCTGTGAAAAGGTTTATGCATGAAGAAAAAAAAAATGTACCCAAGTTTAGTGGTAGCAACACATTTATATGGGTGCAAGGCATGGACTTCAAATATTGTAGAGAGGTGGCAGCTAAAAGCACTGGATATGGTTTAAGAATGTAGTGGAAGGAGTAAAATCAGATGACCAAGAGGGTATATCAATCAAGGGTAGGAGGCAAGATGGGTTGAGGTTGGAGGGAGGGGTTAAAGGTTTTGAATGCTAGGGGCTTGAGCATCAGCAGGCTTGAATGAACATGTTAGTTCAAAATGGAGACAGGTGATCTTAATATTTTAATGTGCATTTGAGATTGAACAAGGTTAACAGTTATGAAGGGATTTAAGGAAACTGGTTAGCTAAATTTGAGTCCTGGAGGTGGGAAGTCCAGTACCTGCATTGAAAAATAATTCAGCAGCTCTACACATGACTAGACTCATTTGAAAACAATTATTTATCACCTCCTGTCACCTTCACAGTACACAGTGAATGAATCCCTAGCCTCACCAGTCTTTCACCTACCTGGCAGCAGTTATCATTGTGCACACAATGACTCTGTATTCCCGCAACTTGTCAATAGAAGGGAAATATATAGAAGAACCGTTCCAGTTGGATATCTCACGAAGCTTATCCGGAATAGTCACTCTGAAAAGAAAAATACGTTTATAAAGCCATGATATACATTAAAAACATGTGCATGCACACGATTACATATACAGGAGAGCCCAACTCATAACGTCTTGATTTGCAATGTTCCATGTTTACATTTAAGGAATAAGTGACTCACTCTTCTGACGGAGGGACTACGTACAAACAACAATTAAACGATAATTCTCTTGATGTACCATCATTTAATGTAAGCCATGGCTGGTTTAAGAAATTTAAGGCAAGAGCAAATTTGCATAATGTTAGTGTGTGATGAACTGCTAGTACCAGTGAAATAGGAGCAAAGGCATTTATTAAAGCGCTTGTGGACATTATTATTATTATCCTCAGCCAATTTCATCACTCTTCTTTAAACTCCTCCAAGTCAGCATAAAATAACCAAGAAACACTTCTTCCAGTGAGCATGACATAATCAACATTCACGGTAAATACTGTATCATTTTACTGCATAATTAGAAATATTTTGTTATAATGCTGGCACTGACTCGATTGAAAAACAAGGCATTTCTGCAACATTTGATAATCTTCACTGAGGAAATGTTTCAACAGCCAGTGGTTTCTTCAGTCCAATACAGAGAATAACAGAGGAATATGAAGATTTTAAAACCCTCTTCATCACAATTGACATGATTATGTCATTTATTTCAATAGTTTACTGCTGTGTAGGATTGTGATTCCTGATTACACACACACAGAACCCTCAAAATTTATGTTTATACTATGGTAATATACAGTAACATTCCACACTACTTACAACTGTCTAGACGCTGCGTGCATCCTTATCATATGTCGCTTGGAAACATGCTCTAGCAGTCTCTGAGCTATAAGGTCAGCAGCTGCGTTAGATGGGGCACAGGCTAGCACCCTGCTCTGTGGCTGAACTTTGTACACCTGAAACATGCATAATCTAGATATTATTTAACCCAAGTACAGCCTCTCCTCACTTAATGATGGAGTTCTGCTCCTAAGACCACATCGGTAAATGAATTCGTTGCTAAGCAAAGAGCATACTATAATGGGGGGGGGGGGGGGTTGTGACAACCATCTCTGATACTGTTTCAATGTCACCTTTGCACAATTTATAACATTTTTAGTACAGTGGACCCCCGGCATATGATAATAATCTGTTCCTGAGAGCTCATCGTATGCCAAAATTATCGTAAGGCGAATTAATTATCCCCATAAGAAATAATGGAAATCAAATTAATCTGTGCAAGACACCAGAAAGTATGAAAAAAAAAATTTTTTTTTACCACATGAAATATTAATTTTAATACACACAAACTGACACTTACCTTTATTGAAGATCTGGTGATGATTGATGAGATGGGAGGAGGGGAGGGTATGGAAGTTGTTAATGTTTAGAAGGGGAATCCCCTTCCATTAGGACTTTAAGTAGCACGTCCTTTTCTGGGGTTACTTCCCTTCTTTTACTGCCACAAGGACCAGCTGACCATGGTGCAGCAATAGCTGACCATGGTGCAGCAACAGCTGACCGTGGTGCAGCAGCAGCTGACCGTGGTGCAGCAGCAGCTGACCGTGGTGCAGCAGCAGCTGACCGTGGTGCAGCAACAGATGACAGTGGTGTAGCAGCAGTTGACTGTGGTGCAGCAGCAGCTGACTGTGGTGCAGCAGCAGCTGACCGTGGTGCAACAGCAGCTCGCTGTGGTTCAGCAACAGCTGACTGTGATGCAGCAACAGCTGACGGTGGTGCAGCAGCAGCTGACAGTGGTACGATAGTACGTATTTCTCACCCTTTTTACACATGATCGCTTAAGAGATGGTATCTCCTATCCGTTTTTCGTTTATCCACACCAATAACAGTCTCTCAACATCTTTGAGTACTTGCGATCTCAGTTTCAAAAAAAAAAAAAAACTTGCACCTTTTGCAAGAACAGCTTCCTTGATTGCCGTTTTGTTGGCCACAATAGCAGCGATGGTTGATTGGGGTTTGGTATACAACCTGGCCAGCTCTGACACATGCACTCCACTTTCGAACTTAGCAATTATCTCTTTCTTCATTTCCATAGTAATTTTCACCTTTTTTACTGCACGGTTGGCACTAGAAGCTTTCTTGGGGCCCATGGTGACTTATTTTGCAGGTACAATCACTAAAAATGCTGTGATAATACGAAATGTACCAATTGTATGCGTGGATGCGACCGCACTAGCTGGTTTGTAAACAACGGCACGCACGGGGAAGCTGAGGACACACGTGGGATACGTCCCAGTCAAATCGCGTTTGACGGTTTTTTTAACGTGTGGTGAGGCAAAATTTTTGCGTTAAAATGTATCGTATGCCGGATTTAATGTATGCCGATGCCATCGTATGCCGGGGGTCCACTGTATATTTTTAAATGTTTATACAGTAGTGTACTGAACAGGTACCATCTGACTTACAACCGAGTTCGGTTCCGACAAACCGGTCGTAAGTTGAAATGGACTTAAGTCGAACCTTACTACTGAATATCAACATCACATTTTTGAAATGAGTTTATTTTGTTTTATTTTGGTATTTCATTTTTTACTTTACATTTTATGCTGTTAGTACTGTATTTTATACTGAAAGGTTAAGGATAAACACTGTGTACAACACAGACAGTTGTTTACTTCCAAGAAATTTGGCACAGAAAACACGGTCGTAAGTCGAATGGTCGTATGTCAAGCAGGTCATAAGTCGGATGGTAGGTGTATATTGTAATAAACATAATAGAGGAAATCAGCTCTAATGTACATTATTTAGGTATGCATACTGATCAGAGCCTGTCGTAAGCCTGAGTTGTCGGTACACGAGTACGTTGCTAAGTGATGAAACGTTGTATACAGTACTACTTAACCCTTTCAGGGGCAGAACCCCTGATCTGAAAATTGCTCTCAGGGTCGAAGAATTAAAAAAAAAAAAACTTACTAAATGACAGAGAATCTTGTTCCAAAGGTCATGAAACCAAAAGTACAAAATTTGATGGAAAACTTATGGAATTATGCTCTCACGAAGTTAGCGGTCTCAGCAATATTTACACATCAGCAATTTCACCCACTTTGAGCCCTATTTTCTGCCAATTCCTTTATTCCAGTCACCAAAACTCATAGCCATTTCGCTAAATTTTTTTTTTCAACAAGTCGGCCGTCTCCCACCGAGGCAGGGTGACCCAAAAAAGAAAGAAAATCCCCCCCAAAAAAATACTTTCATCATCATTCAACACTTTCACCACATTCACACATTATCACTGTTTTTGCAGAGGTGCTCAGAATACAACAGTTCAGAAGCATATACATATAAAGATACATAACATATCCCTCCAAACTGCCAATATCCCAAACCCCTCCTTTAAAGTGCAGGCATTGTACTTCCCATTTCCAGGACTCAAGTCCGACTATATGAAAATAACCGGTTTCCCTGAATCCTTTCACTAAATATTACCCTGCTCACACTCCAACAGATCGCTAATATTCCTTCTAATCTATCGAGTGAGTTCAAGAAACTGCCCATTTACCTATTTCAGCAACCCAATAAAGTGATCAGAAATCAGTTTTGGCCAATTTCTCACAAATTTCAAAAATTGCCAATTGAAAAATAAGAGTCCAGAATAAACAATGTAGACAACATTTCCTCTGTTCATTAATGTCCCCAGGCCTCTCCTATACTATGCCTTTGTCAGTATATTTCAAATACGTGTACTTGCTAACCATGATGTCACAGACACCTGTATGCCCATGCATGTGCCATAAGGCTAGACAGGGTTGAATCAGAGTGGTTACCCAGAGGCCAGTAGGATGCAGATGGCAGACTGGGCTTCAACACATATTTACCCTATATGTATATCATTGTGTAACTGCCTACAATGTGTTTCAATCACCATCACTCCATCCAAAAAGAACCAGACACTTATTTTCCATTTTGAATTTTTATTCACACAAAAAATAGAAGATTTACTATTGTGTAGACTACTGCATTAATGTAATAATTACATACTATCAGCACATTTGTGGACATGTATTAGACTGACCAGTTGGATGCTTATTGGACAAGTGATGTAATTTCTGTGCTCTGGAATATCAGCAAAAATCAAACATCTCCACTACTTTAAAATCGATTTCCAGATACTTTCAACTTTCAGTCCTGAGAACAATCAAAATCATCTCTATTTCTGTAATATATCTTCAATTCTATCAAATGAGATCAAGTAACTGAGAATAAAACCATAAAAACCATACGACAATACACCACAAAGTTGTTTTAAACCAAAAACACTTGTTCCCCCCCCCCCCATTATGCACTGTTTGCTGCAGGATTTTTTATATGGTGCACACTTATAGACCCATTCTCTCGTATCTAGGCCCAATTTACCACTTGCAGCTTATCTGAGCAAGCTGAGCTCATGGCGTAGTACACACTATGGGACCGACTCGCCCTTCAAAGCCACAGCACAATGGGACTCGCCCTGAAAGGGGTAAGATTGTGTGGATCATGTACATAACAGAACTAATTCCCCCCCCCCCCCCTCTCACACTCTCTCTCGCACTCTCACACTCTCTCACACAACTCTCTCTCACATCTAACTTCTCTCACACTCTCTCACACTCTCTCCCACTCTCTCTCTCTCACACTCTCTCCCTCTCTCACCACTCTCTCTCACACTCTCACTCTCCACACTCTCTCACACTCTCTCACACTCTCATCACACTCTCTCACACTCTCTCACCTCTCTCACACTCCTCCACACTCTCTCTCCTCACATCTCTCTCTCTCACACTCACTCTCACACTCTCTCACACTCTCACCTCTCTCACACTCTCTCTCTCTCACACACATCTCTCACACTCTCTCACACTCTCCCTCCACTCTCACACCTCTCTCACACTCTCTCACACTCCACTCTCTCACACTCTCCCCACTCTCTCACCACACTCACCACTCTCACACTCTCTCTCTCACACTCACACTCTCTCACACCTCTCTCACACTCTCTCTCTCACACTCTCTCTCTCACACTCTCTCTCTCACACTCTCTCTCTCACACTCTCTCTCTCACACTCTCTCCTCTCTCACACCTCTCTCTCTCACACTCTCTCACACTCTCTCTCACACACTCTCCTCTCACACTCTCTCTCACTCTCCTCTCACACTCTCTCTCTCACACTCTCTCTCTCACCACTCTCCTCTCTCACACTCCTCCTCTCTCACACTCTCATCTCTCACACTCCTCTCACTCTCCTCAACTCTCTCACTCTCAACTCTCTCTCCTCACACTCTCTCCTCTCACACTACTCTCTCACACTCTCCTCTCACACTCTCTCTCTCCTCTCACACTCTCTCTCACACCTCTCACACTCTCTCCCTCACACTCTCTCACACTCTCTCTCACACCTCTCTCTCACACTCACACTTCTCTCACACTCTCACACTCTCTCTCACACTCTCTCCACACTCTCTCTCTCCACACTCTCTCTCTCACACTCTCACACTCTCTCTCCCCACTCTCTCTCTCACACTCTCCCCACACCTCTCACACTCTCTCTCACACTCTCTCACACTCTCTCTCTCACACTCTCTCTCTCACACTCTCTCTCTCACACTCTCTCTCTCACACTCCATCTCACACTCCTCTCTCTCACACTCCTCTCTCACACTCTCTCTCTCTCTCACACTCTCTCTCTCTCTCACACTCACACTCTCTCTCTCACACTCTCTCTCTCTCTCACACTCTCTCTCGTCTCACACTCTCTCTCTCTCACACTCCTCTCCTCACACTCTCTCTCTCTCACACTCTCTCCGCTCACTCTCTCTCTCTCTCTCTCTCACACCTCTCTCACACTCTCTCTCCCTCTCTCACACTCTCCTCTCTCTCACCACTCTACCTCTCTCTCTCCACCTCTTCTCTCCACACTCT